AGACGTTAGGACCCAACTCAATGTAATCAACTCCTCTGTAAAGATGAAAATAAAGGATGTCAACCTTTTTATTTTGAGGAACACAACGTTTCGGAGTATATTATTACTCATTCATCAGGTGAATGAAAAAAAACTAGAAAACAGGTAGCTATAAAAGTACATTTGAAACTGCAAAAGTAATACGAGCCATATCAAGCCAGTGAATATCAGCTACAGTAGTGACATGGATAGGCCATGCTTTTGTTGAGAATTAAATTTACCTTCTACATGTTCGAGTAGTTTCAGTTTCTTCCCAAATGCTTAATTTTGCTAGGGGCTGTACAGCCTAAGCTGAGTGTAGCCAGACAGTGTTTTTGTATGGATTCTAAATATATCGCCCACTTTCAAATGGAATGTTAAGTAAGCATAGCAGATGTAAGAGAGCAATTTAAGAATGTGTCTTGTCTTTAATTACTTTTAGCCTCCAAAGACTAGCTGGTACCTAAACAAAGGTTTGGAATGGTCACCACTTCATCAGCCCCATTAAATCTTTACCCAGCAGGAGTACCGATTGGAGGTGTCATTGACAGGATGCTTGACAATGGAGTAAGAATCCACCACAATGCCAATCTGTGCATTAAACAAGAAGCTGTTATTCCTAAAGTTGTAATCTTCATTATTGACAGGACTGCTTGTTGCGGAGTGATATATGCTATGATCATGATGATAACAGGAGATGGTGAGGACTTGAAGGGTTCTATTTGTGACCCTTTTTCTTTGATTTTTTCAGTAAAATAACAAGTTAGTACATATGACTGTTTGTTGGCAACCTATTGATAATGTCTTGAATAATGCTGAATTTAATCATGGTTGTGTGTTTGAGTAGAATGTACTCAGGCTGTTATGATCATGACACCACTGGCTTTGGCTTGGTTGTATTTCATGTGCAGTTATGAACTTGATTGGTGTGACAGTAGCACGCCACTTTCCTCTTGTGATAATTACACTACGCCCAGCTTGCAACGGTTCAGCTCCATCTTGTCAGATACCAAGGCCATCGTTTGATTAGGAAATAAATATGGCTGTCATCTGCTTCATATCTATTGATGGTTATACTCAGTATTGTTTGTGTAATAGCGGTTCACAGAGTGATAGTTCATGTTACCTGTAGTGTTGCAATATTCTCCTGTTTAAATCACCAATCATTAGCATTGTTGGCTCTTGCAGACACCGTCTCTAATATGGAATAAAGTATATTGATAGTATTGTGTTTCTTCATCAGATCAGGTAGTGAAAGTAGAAAGAATGGCACATCTGTCTGGATTGTCAGGATCTCCTAGTGTAGCATCTGTATAATCTTTTGTGAGACAGCTGCTTACCCCTGTGAATATCCACAAAGAACTGGTCTTCAGCATCCAATGCTTGTTACTGGTGATAAGCAGGACTGGATGATCAGACTTGTATTATGTGTCCTAGAAGATGTATTTGAACGTGGGTGCTATATGTTGTCTTCTACCAGATGTATAGGGAACAGGGTGCTATGTGTTGTGTCCTTCAAGATATATAGTGAACTGGATGCTGTTTGTCGTCTTTTACCAGATGCATAGAGAACTGGGTGCTATATGTTGTCTTCTACCAGATGTATAGAAAACTGGCTGCTATGTGTTGTCTTCTACAAGATGCATAGAGAACTGGATGCTGTTTGTCGTCTTTTACCAGATGCATAGAGAACTGGGTGCTATATGTTGTCTTCTACCAGATGCATAGAGAACTGTCTGCTATATGTTGTCTTCTACCAGATGCATAGAGAACTGGGTGCTATATGTTGTCTTCTACCAGATGTATAGAGAACTGGCTGCTATTTGTTGTCTTTTACCAGATGCATAGAGAACTGGGTGCTATATGTTGTCTTCTACCAGATGCATAGAGAACTGGGTGCTATATGTTGTCTTCTACCAGATGCATAGAGAACTGGGTGCTATATGTTGTCTTCTACCAGATGTATAGAAAACTGGCTGCTATGTGGTGTCTTTTACAAGATGTATAGAAAACTGGCTGCTATGTGGTGTCTTTTACAAGATGTATAGAGAACTGGGTGCTATATGTTGTCTTCTACCAGATGCATAGAGAACTGGGTGCTATATGTTGTCTTCTACCAGATGCATAGAGAACTGGGTGCTATATGTTGTCTTCTACCAGATGCATAGAGAACTGGGTGCTATATGTTGTCTTCTACCAGATGTATAGAAAACTGGCTGCTATGTGGTGTCTTTTACAAGATGTATAGAAAACTGGCTGCTATGTGGTGTCTTTTACAAGATGTATAGAGAACTGGGTGCTATATGTTGTCTTCTACCAGATGCATAGAGAACTGGGTGCTATATGTTGTCTTCTACCAGATGCATAGAGAACTGGGTGCTATATGTTGTCTATCTTCTACCAGATGCATAGAGAACTGGGTGCTATATGTTGTCTTCTACCAGATGTAGAGAACTATATGAAGACTGGCTGCTATGTGTTGTGTCTTTTGTTGTGTTCTTCAAGATGTATAGAAAACTGGATGGCTGCTTTGTGGTGTGGCTTTCTTTCACAAGATGTATAGAGAACTGGGTGCTATATGTTGTCTTCTACCAGATGCATAGAGAACTGGGTGCTATATGTTGTCTTCTACCAGATGCATAGAGAACTGGGTGCTATATGTTGTCTTCTACCAGATGCATAGAGAACTGGCTGCTATATGTTGTCTTCTACCAGATGCATAGAGAACTGGCTGCTATATGTTGTCTTCTACCAGATGCATAGAGAACTGGGTGCTATATGTTGTCCTCTACCAGATGCATAGAGAACTGGGTGCTATATGTTGTCTTCTACCAGATGCATAGAGAACTGGGTGCTATATGTTGTCTTCTACCAGATGTATAGAAAACTGGCTGCTATGTGGTGTCTTTTACAAGATGTATAGAAAACTGGGTGCTATATGTTGTCTTCTACCAGATGCATAGAGTACTGGGTGCTATATGTTGTCTTCTACTAGATACATAGAGAACTGGCTGCTATATGGTGTCTTCTACCAGATGTATAGAAAACTGGCTGCTATGTGGTGTCTTCTACAAGATGTATAGAAAACTGGCTGCTATATGTTGTCCTCTACCAGATGTATAGAGAACTGGCTGCTATGTGGTGTCTTCTACAAGATGCACTTGCCACCCATCAGTGTCTGAAAACCAGTACAAATATCCTGTAATCAATCTTCAGTTTCCTGTTTTGCCGTGTGTTTGAATACAGTTTTATTATTGTTCTATGTACAACTATGTATCATCACATGAATGTAGCATTTACTGCTCTGTTGATTTTGTTCATAGATAGCAATATAAAGCATGAAACCAAAGAATAGCGGAATCAGGTTTCTGGTGACATACCTCAGCTAATAGTTACATTATGCTGGTTAACAGATCATGTTGCTGTGTGCTGTCTGTTTCCTGTGTCAGGGTGTTCAGCGTGATAGCATGGCTGTGTGGGAGTTGAACAACCATTTTATAGACAAATCTTTGTCTCTGTAATTATTGTTATTGATTTTTTAGCTGCATGGCCTGGGGCTTAATGAATAATGGTAAGGAAACAGAAACTGGATATTGTTTTTTGCAGTGTTGTGACAAAGGACAGTTCAAGATTACAGTGAAATCCTTTCAGTGTTATAAGAGGGTTTGGGGAATTACTTTGTGATTTACCTTCATAAATTTTCATAATTGATTTTTTAAATGTTGTTCTACTTCATCAAAATAAGATGTGTCTTTAAATTGGTGCATTTTCAAAATGGCTTCGTTATGGACAAGTCTGAAACTTGATAGAAATTGATTCAATTAGGACAATATGTTTCAAGATGAAAAAGTTCTTCCTAAAGTGAGTCACCTAATCAAGTATGCCAGGTATTGGTTGTGGCATGTTTTACCTTGTCTATTGTGTGTGTACTAACAATGTTTGAAGTCCTGTGGCATGTAACCTGCCACTTGAAATATATGTTCTTGGTGAATCAATAAATGCTTAGGTTTCATGCTTTTAATTGATATGTCCATGGACGTCTATGGTTGTGGCATGGAATACAAAATCATCAGGTTCTTTTAATGACATTGGGCAAAAGAGAAATAAGCACCTTTCTGTAAAAAGTGTTTTCTCAGTACATGTAGACCTATACTCTTTGTGCAAATACCTATGCAGATTTGACTTGCATTTTACCCTGAGGAATAGAAGTTACTCATTTAATTAAGTTACATGACCTTGTTATGATATATATCGAAAAACCTTGAAAATAACTAATCACCACTTTGAACGTATGTGTAAGCAGCTACTTGGTTGGGGCAGAGTAGTTTTACATTATATTGTGCAAGAAACACTCTGTAATAAACAGTTATTGTGTGTTTGGCTTGGTCTGTAAGGAGCAGTTTCTAAGTGTATAGGAAACAGTTATTGTGTGCTTGCCTTGGTCTGTAAGGAGCAGTTTCTAAGTGTATAGGAAACAGTGACTGTGACCTTGCCTTGGTCTGTAAGAAGCAGTTTCTAAGCGTATAGGAAACAGTTATTGTGTGCTTGCCTTGGTATGTAAGGAGCAGATTCTAAGTGTATAGGAAACAGTTATTGTGTGCTTGCCTTGGTCTGTAAGGAGTAGTTTCTAAGTGTATAGGAAACAGTTATTGCGACCTTGGCTTGGTCTGTAAGGAGCAGTTTCTAAGTGTATAGGAAACAGTGACTGTGTGCTTGCCTTGGTCTGTAAGGTGTAGTTTCTAAGAGTATAGGAAACAGTACATGGCTTGGTCTGTAAGCTACAGTTTCTATGGTATTGTGTAGGTAACTGTGAGTGTGTGCATGCTTTGGGCCCTATGGAGTTACATAATAAGTTGTTATTGTATTATGTAGGAAACAGATACTGTATGCAGTTAACAGTGATTGTCCTTTACCGGGCAGCTTTTCTGTGTGTTTTTGTGTGTGTGGTATTGTGTAGGTAACTGTAATTGTGTTTTTTGCAGAGTGAGGGACAACAGGACGAGGTAATGACAGAAGTAGAGTGTACTTCCGCCCTAGAGGACTTCGCTTCCACCGGCAGGACAGGCCGAAGGAACGCCGTCCCTGACATACAGAATGACCCCAACACTGCAGTCGGGGCTACAGATGTCACATTTGAGATGGACAAATTAAAATGTGAAGGTCTGTCACCCTGAGTTTGGAAGTGTTACATTTTGTCCTGCTATGTAGTGTAGTGAGTTTAGTTTTACACCCGCTTTTAGCAATATTCCAGCAATATCACGGCAGGGGACAGAGAAATAGGGTTCACACATTGTACCCATGTGGGAAGATATGTATTGTAAGTTGCACCAGATGCTTGAAACCAACCAATGAAAGATGTCCCATGGACACATGATAATGTGAAGGACTGTAAAGTTTGTAGCATTACATGTTGTCATGATGTGGATGATCAGTTTGCAGTATATACAGACTGTGGTGCATAAGAACTCAAATTCTGAGTGTTTAAAGATATTGGCATGGAATATTCTTGCTAGAAAAAAATATTTCATCATTTTTATACCCCCAGTTTGAATAACAGGTGGATATAGTGATCAGCATGTTTGTCTGTGAGTCTGTCTGCTTGTATGTCTGTCCGTGTGTCCATCATCCCATTTCCTAGAGAGTAGCTCCTAAACCAAAGACTATTTCTTGTTGAAACTTGCTATATAAGTCAGTCTTGTGGTGAACTGGTGGCTTTTGATTGTTTGGGATTTTGTGTTTTTATCATTGTTTATGTTTTCATGATACCAAGTTGGACTGTTAACTATTTCATGATAAAATTTGCTAAACAGATCAGCCTAGAGGTGAACTGTGCCTTTTGGTGATTTTGGATATTTAAAATACTGAATAGCTTTATTATTTTCTTCACTGAACTGGGGCGTGGGGTAGCCTAATGGTTAAAGCGTTGGCTCGTCACGCCGAAGACCCGGGTTCGAATCCCCACATGGGTACAATGTGTGAAGCCCATTTCTGGTGTCCCCCGCCGTGATGTTGCTGGAATATTGCTAAAAGTGGTGTAAAACCAAAATCAGTCAGTCAAGGTATCCATCTGGGGTGTAAGTAGTCATACTCCATTTCCAAATTGTGCCAGATTGGGGATATATCATCTTGTGTTGCCTCTTTTTGTTCATTACTTTGAAGACCTTGTACTATTTATTTTTCTGCATTGACACATGACTTCGCTACTTTACAGTCATAGTAACCACTTCACACTTTGTGTGATGCCCCGGATTTCGAAGTTAAGACACCCCAAATCATTTGGTTGATATAGGTTTGAAAAAAAAATCAGTATAGTCACACAACTTATTTGGTAAGCATCTCAATCAGAGATTGCATTTTATAATCACGTTTCCTGAACACAATAAGCAAAAAAATAGAGCATGCAGGTAATTGACAGTATATTAGTTGCACATTGAAAACAAACCAGGGGCTACAGAATACTTTACTGTACTAAACAGGTAAACTGGAATCTTGTATTTCACAGTATGGTAGTTCCAGATTTTTTTTGTACAGAAGATGTCATTACTTACTTATTTCAGATGGAAGTCAGCCTCAAGCCAGTACATCGGGGGCCAGTCCACAGGCATCAGCAAGTAGCAGCACAGAGGGCGCCACTGCATCTTAGCAGTTGGAGCAACGCAACATGTACATACATTGTCATTTTCCATGTCCAACCGGTCACACTGACACAAACAGATGGAAGGACAGCGTGTATTGTATCGCTGGACACATAGGATGATGCTCTTCAGTGCTAAGAAATATACATGGAACAGACTCCATTTACTTCTTGTAAATAGCTGGTATGGACTTCTTTGTACATATGTGGTTGGTGCAGAAATTTGTGTCAACTTTGACTGACAGTTGTCTCAACTAATAGGATTGCTGCTTCAAGTTTGAATTCGTCCATGTTTCCCATTGCTATCCAGATATATATATGGAAGTCAGAAATCTCATTTTCAGTTCAATTCATTGGATTGTGCTCAAAGACCGAGGAAGAGGGTAGTGTATTTTTTTAATCAAGCTAACCGAGCAAGCATGGGAGAGTTTAATTTCTGCCATTTGAGGAATAAATAGTTTGCTTTTTTCTTCTGTTTGCGAATATCTACTGAAAGGATATGTCAAAATATGTGTTTTCGAAGGCTTTAAAGTTCCATTTTGTTGTAAGTTCAACAAGGCAAATAGCAAGAGGTTGGCATGTGACTGTATATATCATAACTACGCCTTTGATTTGTATATGATCTAGCAGTGTGCACTTGTGATGATTACAGCAGTTAGGAGTGTATGCCTGAGAGTAGTATCATCTATGAGTGTGCACCTGTAAGTGATATATCATCTATGAGTGTGCACCTGTAAGTGATATATCATCTATGAGTGTGCACCTGTAAGTGATATATCATCTATGAGTGTGCACCTGTAAGTGATATATCATCTATGAGTGTGCACCTGTAAGTGATATATCATCTATGAGTGTGCACCTGTAAGTTATATATCATCTATAAGTGTGCACCTGCACTTGTGTTTATTTTGAAATGAGGCTAGCTATAATTAGCCTCAGTAGCATGACACTATCAAATACTATTAGTCTAACAGACCCAAGCAATCTATCACATTCATTCCCCAACTGAAAAGTCTTGCAAATGTTAAGTGCTATATTCCATAACACAGCAATTCCTTGAAAAACATTCTATCAAAAAATAAAAATAATTAGTTTTGTCAGCTACTAAGTTTAGTACATGAAATATATTGTCAAACAAAGCATTGTCATCATAAAAGAGGCATAAATAGACTTATATTCCCTGAGTTTGGGGTTGGTTACATTTGTAAAAGCGTGCCCTCTATTATGATATGTTGTTGATATCTCCCCTCCAGTGTAACTTGTCACTGTTGTCAGTTACATCCTGCACAGCCATCAGCAGCAGTGATCACAATCATATCATTATTGATTCTAAAGGACACATGGACAGTATTCAGGCTGATGGTTTAATGTCAGTGATTTTACAGGTGAGTACATATTGACATTGTAACCAGGTAAATAACGGAGGAACATAATGTACTTGAAATCATTTGAAATATGTAGTGTAGGTAAGAGAAGTATTGATGTGCAGGTAGAATAGCTCTGACTTGCTGTGATACAGACAGGTGCTCATCTAATGGCTTGCTGTAGTGATATATGTCAAAGTGGTGATAGGTGTGGAGCAGTATGTATATTCCTCATGTTAACATCACCAGAACAGGAAGTGTTTCAGCAAGACAGTTGAATTGATCATGTCATCTGTACTATGGAAAGAATCTATACTCAGTTGACTGAAACTGTAATATTGCTGAGATAAGCATGGTGTACTAATATCTGTGTGTAGATGTGTTAGCTCACCTGGTCAAATTATGGCTGGGCTGTTGTCACTTGTTAATGTTTCATATTTTTAATATCTCCAAAACAACAGGACAATGAAATGAAACTTGGTGTGGGTGATCCCACTAATTGTGTCTATCATGTTGGCTTAACTTGGGAAGTGTTGCATGTTCATTCTTACCCCTGGTAATATTGAATATATATGTATGCTGATAATGGAGGGACTATTCAGTGTTAGCAGATGATAAGCCTTCAGGGAGAAGCTTCACTGTTATGTTGTTCACTATGAACTGTCACAGGATCTGATAGCCCAGATATGATCTGTTGATGCCACTTATACTCAGATTCATGAAAATGAATGGTCATCATTGTTCAGAAACAAAAACCAAGTCCACCACAGACACAAATTAGCAAGTCTTCCCCTGGACTCGGACGCCTACAGGATGCCACTTGATCACAAATATCTACCAGCTTGAACAGTGATAACATATTAAGCAAACCTTTAATTAGTCTGATGTTCTCCTTGTACTCAGGATACATGTAACATTAAACAAACTCAGGTTTTCAGGCTGGTGCCATGTTGCATGTCTTGATGAAGACACTAAAGATGATGACGACATTGCTGTATCAAAGCTATACTGGCTTTTTGTTGCCCTAATGTTGTCTAATATACCAACAGTGGACCATTCAGGCTGATGTCCCAACAGTGGACCATTGAGGCTGATGTCCCAACAGTGGACCTTTCAGTCTAATATTCCAACAGTGGACCATTCAGGCTGATGTCCCAACAGTGGACCATTCAGGCTGATGTCCCAACAATGGACCATTCAGGCTGATGTCCCAACAGTGGACCTTTCAGTCTGATGTCCCAACAGTAAACCTTTCAGTCTGATGTTCCAACAGTAAACCTTTCAGGCTGATGTCCCAACAGTGAACCTTTCAGTCTGATGTCTAAACAGTGAACCTTTCAGTCTGATGTCCCAACAGTAAACCTTTCAGGCTGATGTCCCAACAGTGAACCATTCAGGCTGATGTCCCAACAGTGAACCATTCAGGCTGATGTCCCAACAGTGAGTCTGATATCCCAACAGTGGAACATTCAGTCTGATGTCCCAACAGTGGATCATTCAGGCTGATGTCCCAACAGTGAACCTTTCAGGCTGATGTCCTAACAGTGGATCATTCAGGCTGATGTCCTAACAGTGAACCATTCAGGTTGATGTCCCTATGACTGTAGTCACAAGTCTTAATCTGATGTCCCAGCAGTTGACATTCAATGTTTTGTTGGAACAGACAGACAACCATTCAGCCTGTAGTCGTAGCTGTTGACCTTCTAATTGTTGACCATGTTATCTCCTGTCAATCTGCCAGATATCCATTGTGATGAAGCTGTGAACATAAATCTGTTTTATGATCATAGTTTCTAATTGAGCAAATTGTGGATCTGAACTTATCACCTCACACCAGTCACGCTCATAATGCACTTAAAGTAAGAAATGCAGAAGCATTTCACGTTTCTGTATACTGCAGACCTGGCCCAATTTCTCGAAACAAACTTAAGTCTGAGTTTCTACTTAAGTTAGAGTTTTTACTCAAATTTGAGAAAATGCATTTCCCAGAATGAACTAAAATCAATATTAAGCTCAAACATAGTAGACAATTTGAGGTTGGTGGATAGATTACTTAAGTTGTTTGGGCTTTTTATTTAAAAAATGCAGATGAGTTAAAAATTCATCTGTTTTAAATTGTCCAACTCAGTTTGAAATTTGAGTAAAAACTTCAGTTTGTTTCGAGAAATCGGGGCCTGGAAACATTGCATTGAGGAATGTACATTTCATTTGTCACTTGTACACATTATCCAACCATCCTGTAATGATGAAATATGTAATGTCATACATCTTTGTTTATTAATTACACATTGTCACTCGGCATCCAGTTTAATCAAGAATGTTCACATCTGCTTACATAACACTGAGTAGTCCAGACCTACACCCGCTATGTAAGCCAACTGTCAGAAAAACATGTTACCATTACGTGCTGAACATTCTCCTCCCCCACCACTTCTGGCAAATTTTCACATTTAGAATTCAAACTATAAACTAAATATACAATCCAAACGCCCCTTTCAGGTTGCCCTATCATTTGGCCCTTATCACCCCTCTTTCGATCAAACACTTAATGGCCTAGTGGGCCCGTGTGCGAAGAATGGATCATGTCAGAATGCACACATTAAATCTCCCAATCATCATCGAACGTGCTACTCCAACCTTCTGTGTCATGTACAACACATGCATCCATAGTTGATAACTCCCTGACTCTTGGTTAACTGTCCATCACACAGCTTCCTATTCCTGAAAAATAACACTACAAAAGTAAAACCTTGATCTTCAGTTATTTCACCAAAAATGTTTTACAAATCTTTGCGGATAAGGCAATTCTTCATCATCATTTCATGCAAAACTGTCCAGATTTACAGTATCTGCACATTTGAATTGTCATTAATTCTTAGGTTTTTGTTCAAGAAACTGATTCATCAGAACAAAACTAGAGAGCTCAATATTACGATTATTGAACTGTACGTCCTTTGTATCACAGTGAGTCTGTTTCACGTGGGAAGACAGCCCAAAGTGATACAGGTTTCAGGTGTTTTCCTGTTTAGTCAAACCTAGGAACACAGTTAGTGACAAGGGCCTAGAATTTCGAAGCTCTCTTAGAGCTAAGATAGTTGTAAGTTAATGTTAATGTATGGCACTTATGACTTTCTTAGTGTATGGCACTTACGACTATCTTAACGCTAAGAGAGCTTCGAAAATCTAGGCCCAGGATCATAATTTGGGAAAATCCGATCCTGTCAGCTGAGGGATATGACTTCTGGATGTTTGCTATCAGCAGACCTTGCGTCATCTATGTCCATGTCATAGTAAACCCTATCCTACCTCCAGCCCCTATGACAATAACAGGATGAAGTACATGGCTGGTCTGGCTCTTGTATTGAGGGAGATAAGCAATATAGTAGAAGCACACCATCCTCAAATGCACGCTGTATACATGGAGTTTAGAGTGACAGGAAGACATGTCAAAGACACTCTGTGCTGTTGTTTCTTACTTGTTTGTTGCATCCGTTTCTGTTTTAAATAAACCAAAATGTCATAATGTTTAGTTCCTTTTATGATGTCATGATTCCAGATTTTGTAGTTGATAAATGACCTCAGTGGGTGTCGACAAGGTTTGTACATTCATAAAATAGGCTGGTATGTATGCGAGTCTTGTTATAGCTGTTTATTTCCCCATGTTCATGTGATTTGTAACATAATACTTGTAGTATAGCCAGGTGTGTGTTATTCTTACAATTTTTACCATTTGGAATACTGTTCTGTGTTCTGAAGTATTTTGTTATGGACTTTGTTTTGATTGATTTATGTCATAACCATATAATATGGCCTTTGTTGCTTCAGATGCACGATTAGTTTGAATAATTATCATTCTTCTAGTTGTCAGATAGGCCAAGAAAGGTTAAATTGTATGTTCAATTGCCAGATATACCTACTGAGTTCTAAATAGGAGTTAGTCTCACTGTAGATTTGACAACTATTTTATAATAGCTATATTTTATTTAGAACCGAGTGTTCTGTTCCGAGTAAAAAATAATAGGTAACAAATCCACAGTGAGATTTCCTCAAATTTCATGATGTCATGTTAAGCCATTGTTTATGTGTATTTGATATCCAGTTGGTAACTTTTTTTAACAGATTTTTTATCATGTTCTTCTGTGTACCGTGTATTGTTTGTTTCATGACATAAGGGAACATGGTTAATATTGATATTTTTAATATTTTCTCACTTGGGGTGAATCTATTACAGGTGTAGATGTGTCTATGGTTTTGTCATGTTCTGTTGCTTTTTTGTGCTCAGGGTTTTATAAAGCCATAATGATTGAAAGCATCATGTACACTTCATATTTTTGTACTTGTTTCATCTGTATAAAGCTTTTGTTGTTTTGGAGATAGCAACCACACATTTTCTCAAACATATTCATTCTTCTTCCATTTCCAAGTTAGCTGGCTTCACCTATTTGCTTTGTAGAAGGTTTGTCATGCATCAGCTTAAGCGTTATCTCTTCAATTTGTGAGCATCATGATTTTGAATACTTAACTGAATCAAATTAATGCCTGAGACTTGACCGTCAACTAGGCATGGTTGGTTGAATATTGCTTGTCACGTCACACTGTTTCTAATGATCCCATGTAATCTGCTGCATCATTGCTCTGCTGACAGAAACAGGTTTTCAAGTAGTTTGGTTCATGCTTTGATGGAAATGAATGGAACCAGACACATATATTTCCTGCCTGACTAGTTCCTGAAGCATTGATTTCAGTAATGGTTCTACATATAGACTTTTAGACATGAATCTCAACTTCTAACTTTGTACCTAGTCATATTCAGCATTAACTGGAGGGCATGAGCTGGGACATGAAACCTTCCAGGACTGAAGCTGCTTCAGCCCTATGATGGTCTACAGTTAACAGTGGAGGAACAGGGGTGAACACAGGAAAAATCTTCAGTTTGGACAACCGACAAACAATAATTGGTGATTTATGTATCCCAGGTGCTCATTGTCACTTTGACAGTTTTTGACAGAGGTTTTCTGAGCACTAACTCATGACTAATGCAAGAACATTGCTACCCTGACGCACATAAAATCCTGAAGCACTATGTACAGTGAGAACTAAATAATCTAGAAAATACTTTTCTAGATGCTTATTGTTTGGTATGTCCTCATAATATACCAGGTGTTACTATGTACCCATTAATCCAAGTGGGGATGTTTTCCTCGAGTTTCAAATGGAATAACAGGTTTCACGATGTTAAGTTTGGAGCAAGCGTGTCTCTGTACCTCCCCACATTTCCCTTGCTGAAGGCGGACTGCTGGCTAGTCATGTACCGAGACATTCTGCCGCTGTAGCATTACCAGGTTGGTTTAATTGTTCCGTTTAGGTCAGAGCTTACACTGTAATGTTTTGACATTTTCATAGCTCAAAATTAAATTTTTTCACAAAATCTGTTTGTTTTGTGGTCTTTGAATTTGTGACTTGAGATGGTGAGTTTGGTTTTACACTGCTTTAGCTATATCCTGACCATTTAGTGATGTGAACATACTTCCTATGTCCAGCCACACTTGTTTGCTGTTTCCATCCAAACATTGGAATCTGGACCAGACCGTGGTTGACATTATGAGAATCAACAGGGACAGTCAGGATGATTTATGTAATTCAAAATCCATACTGTTTGTTTTGGGACTCAATGTGTATTTATGTGTAATTATCTAGCAGTCCACATTGCTGGTAGTTGGGCTTCACACACTGTTCCAATGTGGGGAATCAAACCCGGATCTTTGGCATGACTAGCAAACACTTTAACCACAAACAGCCCCTGTCCAATGATAAGAAATAGTGTGCCCAATAAAGCTCTCACAGGGAGACTCCTGCAGCTCAGTTACCCAACTAAATATGGTAATTTTGCTGCAATTTATCCCAAATCATAGAAATTTGGAATCTTACTTCTAAAAT